TGCACTCTCCTGATTACTTGATGCCATTTTTAAAAAAGTGTTCTCAACTGGCCAAGGCACCAGAACCAGACAGGATGATTTTGATCCCACTTTTACAGTAAGGTCCCAGATTAAGAGCTGGAAGGAATGTTAGGGACCCAAAGTCCAACTCCCTAATTATATAAAGAGGTTAAATGATTTGCTGAGGGTCACATGCTAATAAGTGGCAGAGGCACAACTGAATCCAGGTCTTCCTGACTCCAGGTTTAGAGTTCTATTCCCAGTATGAATACTGAAGTCATCAAGATGATGGGGTGGAGATCACCTCACTGCCAGATGTGGAAGGCAGTCCTTGAGCAGGGTGGGAGAGGGATCTGGAGGTCAGTCAATAGTAGCAATAAGCATTTGGACAGGGCAATAGAATTGGATAGAATAAACTTCAAGGTGTGTGTGTGTGTGTGTGTGTGTGTGTGTGTGTGTGTGTGTATGGGGGGGGTATCTAAAAGTGGCAGTAGAGAACAAGGAATCTATTGGGTCTCCCCTCTCTGCCTCCGGCCCCATCATATGTGAGAACAGTAGGAAAGAAGCCCCAGAAGATGGTGGCATGAGGTGTGCAGACTCTGGGAGAGAAAACCAGGTTTCTGATGGTGCCAGGATATGGAGGGATGGTGAGAGGAAAGGCTCCAAGGTGAAGGGAAGTCTATTAATGGAATGGGCACAGTCTGGGGGAGGGCTCCCTGACCACGCCTTCTGGTGATCAAGTCAGAGATCCTGATGACGAGCCCCCCTCACACTAACAATACATTAGGTGTCCCGGTGGCCAAAGGAGGAAAAAGACTGGGAAAGATGTTGGGCTGAGCTGGCTAGGGATGAGGGTTTGTCAGGAAAGTGACTTTTGCCTAGACAGGTGGCATTTCTGAATGACAGGGATTAGAGGATCAGAAGGATTTGCTAGCTCTGGAGAGAGGGGGGAACAAGGAGTCAGAAGCTTGCAGCGTAAATGGACTGCAAGATAACGGCTGGAACACTGGCAGCCCGGGTGCTTCGGCCATGGTCTCCTTTTCCCTGGTGGCAGTCCCTTAGGTGAACAGAACAGGGTCCTGCACATAGTAGGGGGTCAGATTATAGTAGGTGAGCCAAATTACAACCTGCTTGAGAGTAGGAGTTGCCTCATTCTCTGCACATGTATCTTCAGGCCCTAACAAGGCCTGGGACATGATAGGAACTTAATATATGTTTGTTGATTGATTGATTGAATTCAAATATTCCAGGCTCCTAGAGGACTGGGCAGCAGTTTTTTCTCCCCTTACCCAGTGTCTCCTAGCACAGGGCTCGATCAACATTCCCTGGATTGAACGTGCTCCAAGAAGGGCTACAGCTAAGCCACCCTTTGCCCTGTTTCCCCCACCTTGTGAGGAGTCAGAGGAAGGACTAGTAAAGTCCTCTTCACTCTTCCCAGAGACAGATGAAGCAAGGGATGCTGCCAATTTGGCCTAATCAAGCATAGTCATAGAGACCCCAGGGCCATGCTGAGCTCAGAAACACACCAAAAATTGGATAGAAATTTCTTTGAAAATAGAGTGCAAAGCAAAAGCAGGATGAATACTAATTAGTAGAGAAGAGGATTCAGTTCAACTGCCAGGCACAGAGCTAGGCTTTGGGGATACAAAGACAACAATGCCATAGCCCCTGCCCTCAGGGAGCTTGTATTCTATTGGGAAGGGAGAGAAACAGCATGTACACAGCCAAGTCAGTACAAAACAGAGAATTGATGACAGTAGGGGATTGGTTAGAATCAAAGAATGTCAGCTTAGAAGGGATCTTGGAGATCATTGTGTCTAACACCTTCATTATACGAGTGAGGAAACTGGAACTGAGGACAGGGGAAATGACTTGGCCAAGGTCACACAGCACATTCACCCCCAGGTCTCCTGATTTCCAGGCTGGGCTTCTTTCCATTAATACTTTGACTCAGGTGAAAACTCTGAAAGGAAAAGCCTTCAGGACTGGTTGATATCAATCAAGAAATGCTTCTTTATTCAATATTTCCTGTGGGATTTGAATCAGGTTTTTTGGGGGGGAAGCAAAGACAAATTAGGCAATGAGAAATGGATAAGATTTTGAGGGGCTCTGAGATGAGTTGGGAAGACAAGATACCCAAGATACTTTGCTGAGTGCGAAGGGATCTCATAGGTCAGCTAGTACTGTCCACACCAAAATATAAATCTCTCCAACTGCATCCCTACCAAATAATAGTCCAGCCTGCACTGGGAGACCCCAGTGATGGGGAGCCCAGTACCTCCTGAGGCATTCCATTCCATTTTGAGACAACTCTCATTGTTGTGGGAAGTTTTTTCCTTACATTGAGCCAAAATTTGCTTCTCTGTAACTTCCCCCCATTGTTCCCAGCTCTGCCCTCTGGGGCCAAGCAGGAGGCTGATTCCCCTTCCACAGGACAGACCTTCAGATACTTAAAGAGAGCAAGTCCCCTTCTTCCTCTCCTCCCCCACTCCCAAGTCTTCTCATCCTCAGACTAACCATCCCCAGCTCCTTCAGTCAAGTGACAAGCTCTTTCACCATCCCAGTCACCCTTCTCTGGACGTGTTCCATTTTAGCAACATCCTTCCAGAAATATAGCACCCCAAACTCACCAGAATTCTCCAGACAGGGTCTGACTAGGGCAGTGTACAGCAAAACAATTCTGGACACTGAGCCTCTCTCAATACAGGCCATGATTAAATGGGCTGCCTTGGCCACCATATCACACTATTGAGCTTGCTGTCCACTAAAACCCCCAGATTGTTTTCCAGATGAACTTTAATCTAGTGATGCCTCCCCTGGCTATGCTCCAGAAATGAAAATCCACGGCAGAACACTATCTTTTTAACGAACTGCTCATTTCTGAAAACTTCCCTTGCTTTGCTTCATCTGTGGTGATGAAAACAATACTTGTGCCTGCTGAGGTCTTCAAGTTCTTTCCAGCCCTTACCGATGCGTTCTAGCATATTTGAGAGTTGGAAGGGACCTCAGCAGCCATCTAGAATGATCCATATTCTCAGGAAGCATTCAGGCAGTACCATTTATGCCCACGTGAACCACCCGAAACGAGTAGATTATGGCTATCCATTCAGCAAACGTTTATCATTCACATACATCTATTAGGCACTGGGAAAGAAATAGAGTTTATACAGCACATGGTCCCTGGAGCTTACAGCCCAGTAGTTGTTGAATGGTAATCTAACCCAACTTCTTTTATAAATGAGTAAACAGAAGCCTAGAAAGGCAAATAGTGTTCCCAGATGAAGAAACTGAGGCCAAGCAAAGGGAATTAACGTGTTGGGCTGTTGAATGAATCAATGAATGAGATTTGGCCAAAGTACACAGTTATTACAGCAGTATCCATAAAGAGGCAAAAGAGGACTGGAAGACTAGAGATGTCTGATTTCTGATCCTGGACCACTAACTGGTTTTGTGGCCTTGAGCAAATAATCTCTCTGGGACTTAGTTTCCATTTCCTCTCTCTGTGTCCCAGTTTTCTCCTTTGTAGCAGACTGGAGCATCTTTAAGATATCTGCTAGTCCTAATGTTCTATATTCTATGTTCGAACATTTTGTGTTTTAACGTCTCTGCCAGCTCTCATCTTCCACATTCTATGTTCTAACATTTCGTCCATATTCTATGGTCTAACATTTCATGTTCTAAAGTCTCTGCCAGCTCTAATATTCCATGTTCTAAAGTCCCTCTTAGCCCTGGAATTCTGTTCTAAGGTCCTGTCAACTCTGACATTTATGTGGAAAAGAGAAGACTTATTGTTGTGAAATCGCTCCGGGAAGAACCCAAGCCTTGTCCGTCCTCAGTAGCACACAACCTTGTAGGAACTGAAAAGGAGACAGGTAGAAGCAAACCACTAGGTATTTTGGAGTCAAAATACCTGAGTTCAAATCTTGGACCTGCCCCTTCTTCCTAGCCCTAAGACCATAGCTAAGTCAAATGCTCCTTCTGAGCTTTCAGGGAACTCTTAAGAAGAGCCCTCCATCCTTCCTGGGAGGTGGCTTTGGGTTCTCAAAACTTCTGCCATTAGAATGCCAACACCTTCCAAGAATCTCACAATCAAGATCTGAAAGGGACCTGAGAGGTCCTCTCATCCCAGACTTTCATTTGACAACTGAGGAAATGGGAACCCAGAAAGGGGAGGTGCCCTGCTCACCACCACACAGGGAATCTGTGTCAGAGCCTGACTGTCAGCTCGAAGAGGTCCAGTCGTTCCACCACCATACAGCATGACTACCTCCTTTAGACAAGAAGGGCTGAAGCCCCTAGGCCAGAGAACCTGGAGGGAGGGAGGAGCTGCCATGAGCCCCAGTGTGGGGGGGCACCACCAGAAGTAATGGCTGCTTGTCAAGCGTCATGGAGAAAATCCTCAAAAAGGAGCCTAGAGGAACATTGCATCCCATCAGCCACTGGTCAGTGGCATTTCCAGGTTTCCTGGAAGTGGGATGACTGGGAAAAATTCAGATTCAAGGGATTAGAGTTCCAATCCCAGCTTTGCCATTTCCTCTGCATAATCTTGGTCAGGTTAGTTTTCCTGTGTGGGCCTCAGTTTCCTCATTTGTAAAATGAGGGATCTGGCCTCTCAGATCTCTTCCGGTTCCTTTCTAAAATCTCATTATCCTATGACCTGGGTTGAAACTCAATATTTATTATCAAGATGACCTCTACCTTCCTGGGCCTCAGTTTCCTCCTCTGTAAAATGAGACTTGGCAGCACCTCCAAGTCTATGATCAGCCTCCGGTTCTTTGTCCTGTCCCCCGCCAGGCCCTGGCCAGCCCTGGGTGGGGGACTCCCCATTGGCTGCCTTTGGACTTAAACTTTGTGCATGGGCCCCGAAGGAGGCCCGCTGCCCCCAGCGCTCGGGGGATGGGGGGGAGGGGGGCAGCGCCACGCAGCCCAGCCCGAGCCGCCGCCTCCTGCGCTCCTCCTCCTACCCGGCCCGGCCCGGCCCGCCAGCCCTCCCTGCTGCAGCGCCCCGAATTGAGCCATGCTCGGCCGCCAGACTCCTTGCCGCCCCCTCCCCCTCGTCCCCCTCGTCCCCCTCGTCCCCCTCCTCCTCTTCCTCCTCTTCCTGGCCTCCCCGGCCACTCCGGGGCCCAAGGAGAGTGACTTCTACAACTTCAAGGTGGTCAATATCAGGGGCAAGTGGGTGTCCCTGGAGAAGTACCGCGGCTCGGTAAGTGCGTGGGGCACCGGGGCATTCACCATCCGCCCCCACCCCCACCCCTCACACCCCGCACTCTTTCCGGCCCCAACTCCGAGGGGCCCAGGCCGGCTCTGCGGCAAGGGCATGACTCCGTAGGACTCGGGCCCGGCCCTAGGATCCAGACAGGATGAAGGGGACTGGGGGGGAGGGGGCGGAGGAGGGGGGATGGGCGCGCCTCTCGAGCGGCTGGAATCCGGCTCGGATTTCCCCCCAAAGCGGTAGAGCTGCTCAGAGCCCTGGCCTCCTGAACTCTTCTCCGCTAACTGCCCGGCCCTCTCCCACCGGCCTCCCTTGGCCGGCCAGCAGCCCTGGAGTCTACGTGGCACGCCCCCGCCCCGGGAAGGGACTCAGCCCCATTCCCACCCCCGGAGTTTCCAAGGGGCTTAAAGAGCGAGGATGTAAGGAAAAAGGCCCTTAGGCCTCACTCGGTCACAACCTTGGTCCCCTGGGGCGGGGCTAGGTGCTGTCTCCTCTCTGAACCTCAGTTTCTGCATGTGTCAAATGGAGGTGCTGCTCCCTACCCCAACTCTCCCGCGGACAGGGTTACTGGGAGAATGAGGAGGGAGACACACTTGTGCCAAGATTGCATCCTCCAGTTAGTGGGCAGATCACTGTGTTGGAAACCAGGGGACCAATTTCGGCAGAGACCAAGCTGGTTAACTGGTCCAGTGGTTTCTCCTCTCTCCCAGCCTTCATTTCCTCATTTGTACTATAGGAAAAACCTCCCTGGGCTGTCCTGGATGCACATGGGCTCCCACTGGGCAGCCAGGGCCCTGGCAGCAGGTGGGGATGCCCATGTGGGCAGCAGAAGGAGTTGGTACTGCTTTCACAGTGTTACAGACACTCCAGGCTGGAGGAACCCTCTAAAGCCAGCTAGTCTGGGCCCGGGGCCTACTGGAGCAAGAGTCCTCCTACATGGTGAAGAACAACTGTCATACAGCCTCTGTTTGAAGGGAAAGCCCCTGGAAGTATGAGGGATGATAAGCCTGTGCCACAGAGGGACAGCTGAGTGGAAGGAAGGCTCTCCTGATGTCCCACCTAAATCGGACTCAGCAGCTTCACTGCTCTGGGGCCCAGCAGAACTAGTTTAATCCCCCAGATGTAATGTGGAAGGAGAGCTGGCCTTGGAGTCAGGAGGAACTTGGCCTTGGAATCCTGGCTGAGTGACCTCCTAACCCAATCTGGTTTAAATGAATCTAATTTGCCAAGCAATGTACCAGGCACTTTGCTTGTGCTGAGCGTACAGAAACAAAACCAAACATTCCCTGCCCTCATGAAGCTTACAGTCTACTGGACACATGGGAGGTAGGGATAGATAGAACGTGTAGCCCACTCATTAGAAGCATTTGAGCTTGGAGAACTCGGGAGCACCTTCTGCTAGTAGATGGCTCGTTAGCTGAGCCTTGGCAAAAACCACCTAGTATCTGCCTTCAAGGAACTTCTATACAAAGTAAATACTGAATATTTGGGGGGAGAAAACTAGAAAATGAGGGGATCAGGAGAAGCCTTATATAGGAGACAGGGTGGAAAAGCTCAAGTCAAAGGACCTGGGTTCAGATCCCATCTCTGACATTTCTATGGGACTGGGCAAAGCAAGTAATGTCCTTGGGTCTCCAGCTGTCAAATGAGGGGGGTGGATGAGGGGCAATGTGGGGCTGTTTCAAGAAGGGCACAGCTTCCAGGAATAAGGAGGTGATCTCCCACTGTCCTCTCCCTGGTCACACACCACAGTTTTGTAACACTAATAAGCTAGAGGGCCACCAGGGTGGACAAGTGTCCTGAGTCCATGTTATATGAGGGTAAGTTGAAGGAACAAGGTGTGCTTAGCTTGAAGACTAGGAAGCCATTATGGTGATTTCAAGCATTTGAAGGAAGGTTATATGGAAGAGGGGATAGATGTGTTCTGAATAGCTCCGGAAAGCAGAACCAAATGCTTGAGGCAGAAGAATTTCTGAACGGAGCTGTCCAGAAGTGGAATGTGCTGCCCTCTGCTCAATGGAGGAATCAAACAGATGCTGGGTGGCTACTGCTTGGATATATCCTGGTGGGATAATGTATCCCATCGTTAGTCTAAATGGCTGCCAAGGTCCCTTCTAACTCTCAACTTCCATGACTCGGTGACTTCTAAAGGCCCTTTCCTTTCTAAGAAAGATTATTGACATCACCAAATATTAAAGCCCTAAAGGACCCTAGACACCACCTCTCATCCTTCTCCGTTTGACAGAGGAAGAAGCTGAGGTCCAGAGGGGTGGTGGCTTTTGGAAATGGATGACAAACTTGAACCCGGGCCAACCAGAATCTGGTTCGGACGCCAGTGGTCCTTCCAAGATGCTATGATAGTCAATTCAATACAATTTAATTAAATCGGTTTCAACACTTATTCTAACCAGATCAATACTACCTTTGCTGCCAGAATGGGATCTTCTTGCACAAAGCATCCCATCTTCCACCTCTGTGTCTTTGTGTGAGTTGTTCCCCCCATGCCTTGACTCTGTCCCCTCCTCACCTCTGTCTACTTCTTGAAGACAGGGACTGTTTGGCTTTGGGCTTTAGATTCCAAGGGCCCAGCACCGTGCCTGACACAATGTAGGGGCTTAGTCAATGCTTTTTCTTTCATTCATTCATGCATCCATTCATTCTTTCAAGTCCCTACTAAGTGCTGGGTGCTGGGGATGCTTAAAAAAGGAAGGCTAGAATGAGAGTGAGCAAAGCAGCTGACCCCTTGCCGAGCAGTTCCCGTGCTAGAGGCTGTACTCCACTCCTGCCTGTCTAGGTAATCGTTGCTGGAGGACCCTGTGGCCGGCTGCCCCAGTCCCGGGCAGAATTGTGAAGGGGGCAAAGTTGGTCTAGCACCCTGCCTATGTTGTTCCCCTTTGCTTTCTCCCCCATTTCAGAAGCTCAGAGCACCTTAAGAAGAGACCTCAGAGATCATCTAGGGAAGCAGTATAGTAGGGAAGAAAGGATGCTGGTTTTGATTCATGGGACCTGGGTTCAAATCCTGGCTCTACCATAATACTACCTATGGAACCTTGGGGAAGTCACTTCTCCTCAGGGGGTCTCAGTTTTTGTTTTTTTCATCTAAATGAGAGGACTGGAATGAATGGCCTCTGGGGTTCCTTACAGTTCTAGAGCTGGGAACCTAGCCCAACCCATCCCTGAATAAGACTCTCCACCATGACATGCCCAGCCAAACAACAAGCATTTATTAAGCACCAACTGTATGAGTGACAGGATAGAAACACCAAGAATGAAACATCGCTACTCTCAATGAGTTACATTTTAATGAGATAGACAAGGGCGTTTATAGCTATATACAGTATAAATATAGAAAGAAGAAATACAAATAATGACAAAGTACAAGATAATTTGGGAGGGAAAGCACTAGCTTTCAGTCAACAAACATTTAGCTAAATGCTAGAGAAACAAAGAAAAACAACATGGCACCTGTCCTCGAGGAGTTCACATTCTAACGGGAGAGACAACATATAACTAACTAGATTGACATACAAGATCTAGCCGGCATCAATGGAAGTTAATTTCAGAAGATTATGGCCTTGAGCTAAGTCTTGAAGGGAGCCGGGGAAATGAAGAGAGGGAAAAAGAAGGGAAGAGCGTCAAAGGAGCGTAAGACAGCCAGGCAGAGGCTGGAAACGAAGCGCCCTGTGTGAGGAGCAGTGATGAGGCCAGAGTTGTTGGATGGCAGAAGACATAGAGGAGAAGTGTAAGGGGAAATGAAAAGGTAGGCAGGACTTTAAATGCCAAACAGAGGACTTGACATTTGATCCTGGAGGTAATGGGGAGCCACCGGAATTTATTAAGGGGCCGGGGGGACATGATCAGATCTATGTTTTAGGGGAAATTACTTTGGCAGATTCCTGGAGGATGGATTTTAGTAGGGAGAAACTTGGAAGCAGGAAACCAGTTAGAAGGCTGCTGCACTAATCCAGAGAAGAGGTGACAAAGATGAGAGCTAGGGTTAGATTGGATATGTGGAGTGACTGCATGTAAGGAGGTGAGGATAATGCTGAAGATGCAAGCCTGGGTGCCTGGGAAGAAGGAAGGGTTTGGAGGGAAAGTTAATGACTTCTGTTTGGGACTTGTTGAATTTGAGATGTCTACAGGACATCCAGTTTCAAGAAAGCCTCGGGGGAGCATTGCCACAAAATCTTTGAGACGAGAAGGCAATTGTCAGCATCAATGGCTGCAGAGAAGCTAAGAAGGCTGAGAACTCAGAAAAAGCCAGGAGATTTGGCAATTAAGGGATCATTGGGAACCTTGGAGAGAATCTTTTCAGTTGAGTAATGAGATCAGAAAGGCAGCTTGCCGGAGATGTAGAGGAAGTGGAGGAGTCAAGTACGGACCTCTTTCTCAAAGAGGTCAAAGAGAAGCTTTCACAGAGAAGCCAGGAGATAAAGTAATGAACCTGATAAGACAGGTTGGGGCCAGGTTGTGTAGGGCTTTAGAGCTAAAGAGAAGAGCTTCTATTTTATTCTAGAGGCAGTAGAATTGCTTTTGAGAGTACCATGGTCAGATCTGTACTGCATCAGCACTACATAGGGTATACTGGAGTGGGGAGAGATTTGAGGCAGGAAGACCAATTAGGAAGCTGTTGCAGTAATCTAGATGAGTGGTTGTGGAGGCCTGAACTAAAGTGGCAGCTGTGTGAGTATAAAGAAGGGGACAGATGTGAGAAATGTGAAGATTGAAATGGCATCCAGCCACTGCTGAATGCTCCTTATGAGAAGGACCCCAGCTCCTCTTGGGGCAGCCCATTCTAACTTTGGACAGCTCTGACTGTTACAGAACCTTAACTTACTCTTTTGTTCCTGCACTTCCTCCCCAGTCTCCTTCACCTCCCTTTTGTATTCTCATGGTCATTTCATTTCTGGTCATTTCAGTGTTTGAATTTGACAAGGGAATCCTAGAGAAGAGAGAAAGAAATGAATGGCTAAAAGTGAAATTTAAGAATG